GGTTCGGGGGCAGCGCCCCCAATTTTTTTTATATTCATTAACATAAAATAGCATAAAATAACCTCAAATTATAAACTTCAACTAATATAACATAAATTTTTTGATAGATAAGTTAAACTAAATTACTTGGGTGGGCTAAATTAAACTATTTGGGGGGCAAATTATATATAGATATAATATATAGCATAAATTTTTAAATAATGAGAGTGGGGCTGGAGCCCACCCTTGCCAAAGGGTGGCTCCGCCACTGGGCCGTACCATTTAGCATTGTCACATGTAAAATTATGTTTGGGCCCAATTCGTATACAAAAAGTTATGTTGACTTTGGTCTAGGGGTGGAAATTGGAGCGGAATTTTCAGTTTTCGTCAGTTCCGAATCGATTTTTTTGATTTTGGAATAGTTTTTTTCATTTCGTTATCCTTCGATTTTTTCGATTTGGAATTGGAATTTAAAAAAAAATATTTGGAATTTTCAATTTCCGAAATTAATTTCGAATTTTTTTAATTTTTCCGAAAAATACACGAATAATATTTATAGACACACACACACAAATTTTTACTTTATGTGCCATGTTGGAGAGCCAAAGTATTTTATTTGTTATTTCTCACATAGAAAAAGACCTAGCTTATTTTCTAGTTTTGAATTTTATCATTTATAAGGTTTAAAATTTTTATGATTTATGAAAGTGGGTGTTCTTATTTTTAAAAATTTATGAAAGTCTTAAAATTGTTTAAATATATTTAAATCATGCAATTTCCGAAATTTTTAAAATTTCCATAACTTTTGGAATTAGAATGAATTTCTAGATTCCGAAAATTTTGGAATTGAATTTGGAAAAAAATTTACACTCCTAAAAAAATATAATTTCGATCTGTTCTATTCGACTTTCATCCTTAATGCCAAAATTGCCAATAGTTTTTGTGGTTACTTCTATGGATGGTTGGCTAAAAAAACTATGTACATAATAAGATTTAATTTTAATAAAACTATCAACCAGCTGAGCCCGGTCCCAACCTTAATTTTAATAAAACTTTTTATTTATACTCAAATTCTTAATTTATTTTAATATAAATTTTCATGATTCTTTTTATTGCTTGATTATATTTTAAATAAAATGTCAAATTTATTTTTAATATAAAAGACTTAGTAAAAACTTATCACAAAAGCATAATAAATTATAAAAATATTGATGTGTGATTATGTTAAATAGTAATCTCATTAGGTTTAATTCAATAACATGAAAATTTAAAACGAATAAATTGAACCGCAAATCGCATGAGTTCTAAGCTAAACTGAATATTGATTCGCTCATTTTCTATCTAAAAGTAACTGTTTTTACGGAACAAACGTTTAACAAAAAATCTCAAACAAACTAGGTACGAGTTAAGTCGACCATTAATAACTAGTTCGAAAGCCGTAAGTTGTATGATCCCATTCCAGAAGTCAAATAACTATTTTCAACTTGACGTATAAAACACACATCGTAAATTGTAAAAATCACTAGAAATATAAATATACATGCGCATCTAGTGAAATATTTGAATATTTTTTCACATATCAATAAGTAGGACGATGGAGACATACAATGTTAATACTTTATGTAAGTAAATACAATGTAGAACTATATATTTCAATTATAAATTTTTAATTTCATAATTTAATAATTAAAAATAATGTAGCATACGTGTCGTTTGGATTTTTTAGTTATTCAATTAAATAAATGAATTAATTATTAAAGAAGGTGACGATTTGGTATTGGCGGTAGCCAAATAAATTGAAAAGCAAGGCGCCATTATTATTTCCCCCAAAAAATTTCAGTAACCTTCCAAAAAAGCTCAACACTCTCTCTCTATATTACAGTGGGGTGGTGGTCTAGGGTTTACAGACGGATTTCTCTGAAGAGACAAAAAAAAAATAAAAAAAAATGGTGGTCGCTGCGCAATTGAAATCGGCGGCTTCGGACGACGGTATATTCTCAATTCTCATTCTCCCTCTTTTTTTTTTTCGCCGTTCGCTTTTTCGATTGATTGATTGTGTGTGTGTTTTGCTCATGCAAATGCAAATCAATGGTGCATTGTTTGAATTTCGATTTATCTGGTTTCAATTTGTGCGCTGATGGTTGGATCTTCTTCGGTAGATCGTTTAAAAAAAAATAAAAAAATTCTCGGGTTTTATGTGTTTGGGATAAGTTGGCCGGAATTTTTTTCATCTGATTACCAGAGAGGGGATCACTCTGGGAAGTTGATTATTTTGAGATTTGGTGTGTTTATTGGATCGGATTGATTAAAATTGGTTGTGTAATTGAATCAGTGGAGTTCTAATTTGGGAGGCTGTCTTGCCCTTGTGTTGAGGCTAACAAAATCTTCGATTTTCAATTTTTTTGTTCTTCGTGTTTTTGAATTTTGTGTCGAGTGTAGAATGATTGTTTGTTTTGAAAATTTCCATCTTTAAATTTTAGAGTTTAATACGTTTTGCGGTTCCATGCATTACTATGAAATTGAAAGGTGTTTAGATCCAACAAAACAGTTCTTATGAAATGGGGGATTTTTTTTTTGCGATTCAATCAATGTTTTGTGTGTCGGTTTGGTAATGCATCGAGAATTTTTCGTGATGTGTAGAAAGCTAAGGGTAGCAAGTATATACTGTATTAATGTGATGGAAGGAGATGAATGTGTGTAATATTTGTTGAGCTGGACTATTTTTTAACTGGCATGAATTTGATCCTGTTCGTTATAAGCCGTTACATATTTTCAGCTGGAAGATTCCTTTTATGCGTACATTTTATCTGTGGGCCCCATTTATTTTAATGACGGAAATAAATATGGCGACTGGCTATGTTCTCGTCCATGACGGACACGTGGAGAACGATGCATACATGTTAACCTTTTTACTTAAATTGGAAGTTGAATATATTATGGATCGATGTTTGCTGACGTAAATTATTTATTTATGTGCTACACATTTGGTTATCAACAAATACAGTTTGCTGGTCTTACAAGCCTATCTTAGAAACTAAAATTGGATTAATGTGACGAGCATTTAATCATGGAACTTGTCGAATTATTTTGCTCTTTGGGTCAAGTTTTATACAATCGACGTGGTATGTTTGTTCATAGAAACTTCATCATATTTGAAATCTTAAATATTATATCATGCCTTCCTGTTTAGTTTTTCCTTTTATGCGGCATTGTTTCGCAGTGTTGTTGTGCTATACCCAAAGTTTGCCATTTAATAACCTCTTTTCTACTAAATCACTAATTTAATTTGTTAGTAATGAATGATAATAAGAATATCTCATTAGTTTGTCATTCATTCCATCTGTGTTTTTCACTCTTCTATGAGAT